TTTTACAACTATGGTCTTCATTTAGGACAAATATGAAAATATAGACTAACTCATAAGGGTTTGGATTACCTTTCTTAATAAGATTGATACTCATTGAGCTTTAATATGATGTCAGAGTCCATTAAACTCCAACAAACAATTCAATCAGATTAAAACTCAAAGACAAGCACACAGATTTCAAGATTGGTCTACTCAAACGAGCCACTATCTTAGGAAACTTGTTAAAGGATAAATTCTACATCAAATAATGATGAAAATATAGACCAACTTAAAACAATTTAAACTACTCCTAAAAAGGCTAACATTTTAAAATGAAACCTCAAGTTTTAATATTGCTTTCATTCCTACCACTCTTTGGCCGTCAGAATTTACAGGATTTGAAGATAGGCATAAAATCATTCTTGAAGTGAAAATGTATGGGTTTGAACCCGCTGCATAATCATTTCAAAATTTTTACTTTGTTTACAGATACTGCCCCATTACTCTAGTTTAATCTATTTAAATTCGTCTTTTGTGTATCCAATGGCTCCCTTATTGATAGAAGATTACTGCATTTTCATGTAGGATGTTGGGCAATCAATCCTTGAAAGCTACTCCAGGGTGATGGAGAGCTTAGCCTTCAACTTAATGGCTAGGATTGACGATGTTCTACATGTTGATAATGCCACGCGACGGCGACGTGTAGCAGCAGGGGGAATATCTATGCTCAGCCGGAAGGGATCTACCGGTTCTCATGCTTTGCAGAAGCAAAAATTTGTCCAAGGCCATTCACGATCCAAAACTCTTGTTACGAGTAAGGATAGTAAGTCCACTCTCGACCTAGTAAGCAAGCGCACTTTCAGCAGTCAGCTGAAGACAGCTGAGGTGAAAATATGACTTTTGTATGTCCCGGGAAAGAGTGCAGTACAATGCTGGGTTCGAAGAAAGATTCCATGGCCGTTGAAACTTAAACTTGTAACGTGCAAGGATATCATTGTTGGGATATAGGAATGATCAAAATTATTGGTAGTAAACATTTGCATACACAACTCTAATATTAAGACTGCATAGAAATAGTTCTAACTTGTAGTTCTGTGGTAGAGGTCGAAGCTACAATCTTCTCGTGCTAGTTTAGTTTCTGCTCTACTGGTCGGAGACAATGCAACACCTATGGCCCAAGTTGAATTTTTATACGGAGTTAACTGATCAAACTGTGTTAATAACGTATTCTTGAATTTCTTTGTAATTTTTCTCATAACCAATTTTACTTTTTATGCCAAAATATAATGAATTAAGATCTTTGTCGAACATTTTAAGGTTTTAAATGAGGTTCTTCATGTTAATCTCGAATTCGCTTAATTATGAAATTCCAGCATTTGAATAAAAATATGATAGCTCTATTTACATCCACGTTTTTTTATAAATATATCCACGTTTAAAAATAAAATTTTACTATATTTTAAGTCATATATAAATTTACTTAAATAGACATAAATAATAATGAAATCCACACTCATTTGTTGAATCAATTACTTCAATTCTACCCAAATCATCAAAATTATATTCCGTCGGACGGCAAATTATAATTGGCAGCCGGTTACTGTTCAGTTCTGAGTTTTACCAACAAACCCCACCAGTTCTTTTGTTGTTCTTCTTCATTTTCTCATTCTTCTTTTCCATTTTTTTCAAAATCAAATGATGGCTGGTGGCTGATGAT